TTACCTTCCCCATTGAAAGATGTTGCCTAATCTCCTACAGCAGTTAGCAGGTTTTGCATCATTGCTAGCAGCAGCACTTAGTGCTTAAGAACAGCTGTTTCTTTGTTAGAAATATTTTTTTTGTTGTTAACAATTAAACTCTTGCCAAGAGGCAACAAGTCAACTGAAACCTCTGGTGTTCTTTGCAACCTGCTGAGTTATCAGCAAAACCAATAGGCCACACACTGACCTTCAACCAAGGTCTTGCTCCAGAGATTGGTGAGTGCTGTGACTTCAATACACCCAAGGGCAATAATACCACCACAGAAGGAACTCCCTTTCAAGCCTTCATGCTAGTGGAGATGACGTAGCGTTTTTGCATTACTATCGCTCCAATAAAAATACTATAATTAAAGAGCTAGTGCTACACAATGTGAGACAATCACAAAGATAACCACAAGGCAAGGCAAGAAATACATTGTAAAAAGATAAGCTGTGAGGAGGTTTCTTTCTGAAACTCTAGCAGTCTTGAATAGCTCACAATAGCTGTTGCAGGCTAAAAGACTTCAATTTCTTTGTATTAAGAGAAGCGTTAAACCACTATTTAGATCATTTTCTAGACTCATACATCACTACTGAAACACCTTCAATGCATTAAACATTTAAATCCGCGTTATTTATAAAATAGGCAATCTTCCCCCTTCTAAAAGGCTATCACTGGCACCATCCAAGACTCTTACCACTTTTGCTTTAAGCTTGATGTTTATGAGAAGACCAGAATAGGGACAGGTTTTCTTGCCCTTTGAAAGCTTTTTGATTTGTTACATAACTAAACATGTTTGTACAGCTTTCTTCATATCTACAAATCCTTAATCCAAAGGATGTCAGTCCAGGCGATAATTATATGAATAAATTGTAGACAGTCTAAGAAGGAAAGAAAGATGGAGAGACATTTGGAATTAACGTGCTGTGAATCAGTCCTGCATCATCCTTTGTCAGTGGAATTAGCAGGCTTTTCTCCCCTCTTCTTGTTGCCTTTTAGTAATAATTTTCAGTGTATTTGACACATTTCATCTCACTCAATGCACTGAACCCTAATACAAGAGAATACCAGTTTGTCAAACATACATTATTGAGGATGCACACCAGTTAATCTTAGGCAACTGACATTGTCAAAGACAAGCCACCCTGGCAAGAGCTACAGAAATGCTAGGCAAAGAGGAAAGAGGTATAACAAGTGCAGGAGCACAACTGCTGAGATACCAAGCAACACAAAAGGCCAAAGCCTCCCAACTCCTGTCTCAATTACCCCAAAACACAAATATCTTACAACAGTTTCAAAGCACACATTTCCACTGCTGTTGACTAGAGGAGTTGCAAGCCTGAAAAGACTAGTCATTCACTTGGTATAGGATTCTGCATCAGATACTTAAAGAGCTGGATGAGAGTAAGACTTCATTCTAAAAATAATTTTTAGTTTTTTACATAAGTTTCACAGAAGCCTCTTTGAATATTTATTGGTCAAAGTAGAGTAGACACTACAGAATTTGTAATCCAGGATAACCACATTGATTTGCTGCTATGGACATCAAGAAGTGCAGTCCTAATAGGTTTTTTAAACAATAAACAAAAAAGTGTGTTACAATACCAGAACTTCTAGGGATGCCAGGCTTTATATTTTAATGTTTCTTACAGCTGTTTTTAGCTCAAATTAAAATGATACATGCATTCGGTCTTGAAAAGGAGTGCTGCCATTCAAAACTTGGCCATTCTGGAGATAATGCAACACACTGGTGAATTTTCTCCCTCATTTTGCTGCAAATCCTCTGATATGAGTATATTTTTACTTTTTACAATTTGGCTCAAATGCAGATGCATTATGGAAAAAAAAAGGATTTATTATAAAAGCAAAAATTCTTATTTCTTCAATTTCCAAGACCATTTATATTTTTTTAACATGGCTTCCTGAAATTAGGAAAGAAAAACAGAAATCAAGAGGACTAAGAGAGCAGTAATGGTATTTTCTAAAAATATTTAATATGCACTTGGCATTGAAATGATTTTTTTAAAAAATGCTTAAAAAAACCTCTTGCATAATACTTATTTTACATACTAACAGTGTTTGGATCTAATAGCTTTTTAAGTTTCCCATTTATGGTTTATTTTTGCTAATTACACATTTAACAGATGTATAAAAAAATTAGTTTTTTCACATCCCAGCTGTCCTTTAAAAAAAACCCAAAACCAAAACAACCCTCTGAAAAATGGAGCTAAAGACTCAGATGAAGTACAGTTCCTTATGTAACTGTTTTCTTTTGCACAAAGGGCATCACATTGCTATCCTTACTATTAATTTCTGCAATGTCACAAGACAGGAAACATCTGCTGAAAAGATCCTTTCAAAAAGAAAAATACATAAAAGACACTCCCCAGGTACACTGTTTACTACAAACAATTAAAATATTTCAGTGGCAATACTGCTATTTTATTCAGAAAAAATTATATACAATATTAATTTCCAATAATCAGTAACAACAGGTACTTCCCCTTTAACAACTTCAAGATAGAGCTGTATATGCCATTTCACCAATGAAAAGGTTCTGAGAAGGAATTTGTTCTTTTTGGATCAGAGAAAAAGAACCAGTAAAAACACCACTAGTGAAAACAGTCTTCACCAGCACATTTACAAGAAATGCTTTATCCCTGCGTGACTTCGGGAAGTAATTCCCTTTTTTTTCCAGAAAGGGTTAGGTTTCATTTGGGATTTATAACATGGCAATACTTGAATGCAAATTCCCCAGGGGACACAATAAAGAGGCATTAGAAGGAGAGAACTGAACTGAGACCCCCAGTGAATGTTTTGTAGTGATGGCTCTAGCCTGAAATTCAACATCTTGAGAAGTTCAGGTTAGAAGGAAAATATTTTGGCATACAGCAGCCAGTTCAGAATAAACTATCTATGGGTTTAGCGCCTGACATTATAAGTTCAGAAAACTTTTCAGCTTAAGCAGCCATGTACATCATAGAGCTGCTTTCTTCTCACATAGGCAGCCTGTTCTGTTCTACAACAGTTAGTAGTTCCTTGAGAAACTTTTCTTTTAAAGACAAGTGGTGCTGGAGAAAAATCATTCTTCTTCAAACTAGAAAAAAGAGGAAAAAAAAAGAAAAAAGAAGAACCATTTCCAACTAATCCATGATATAATCTATTGCAGCAGAGACATGTACATTACAAAAAGAGATAAAAACATTAAGAGTAGAATCCAAGAAACATTTATTTTTCCTATTCCCCAGCTCAAAAAGCAGTTTGTACTCTAACAATAGTTTCAAAAGAAATCATTGTCATCTTTATAAGAGACACTGCACAAAAATCATGCTGAAGCAGGCTAAGTTTGGAAAAGTAACATCTTTGAGCAGAAAGTAACTTTATAGTCCAACACTAACTTCATAAGAAACCAGCCTCCCAGCAGGCGCTGGCAGGACTTTTCAGTAAAGAAAAACAAAGAAAATAACAGCAAATTTGGGAGGGTGCGTATAAAGAGAACGCAGGGATTTTGTTTTATAGACTTTACCAGGTAACAGGTCCCCTTGCTCCTTGCTCTACACCTAGGCAGTTTCCTAAGTCTTCACAGAAGGATGATTTCATCTCTTGGAACCAGTGTGAGAGAACATGCACTGGTGGTGGACAGAAGAAGATTGTTCTACAACTAAAATTTTCCAAGCACCTTATACTGAATGGAACAAATACAAGTTTAGGACAGATAATGCCAGACTCAATACAAAATCTCCACTTCATTAAAGTGAGTCTCTGACTCGGTTTTCTACTGCAGCAATGGAAGAGAATAATTCAGGTATATTTAATCTGACCTGCCTGAAATAGAGAAGTTTCTCCCACTTCCCAGAGAAACTAGATCAAGAACCATGCATGTAAAGTAAAAAGAACTGCAAGGGAGACACCAAAAGCTTTTCCTCATCTAAAACGCAGTCAGCATTCTCAGCTGCAGGGCTGATGAAAATACAAAATTAAAAGAAACAGAAGCTCATAATTCGTTTGACTTTAATGAATCCCCAGTAAGGTCATTGTCAATCTGAATAAAATTAAATCTAAAAATTCCTTCAAGAGCTGCACCTTAAGTTTATACCTAAGTTTATGCTCTACTCCCTTGCACAATTCATAATTAGATTTTTCAAAAATATAAACAAACGCTTGACCCCTTCCATGCAGCTATGTCAGCTTTAGAATGTGTATTCTCTTTGCAAACATGTCCACATCTTATGCTGGTTTCTATGGCTAATACTTATACTGCTATGAAAAAACAGTGCTTGGCTACTAACATTTTTGAAGACCTGAGGAGAAAAAAAAATTCTAATTCTTTTCCTTCCACTCCCCAAGAAGGACAGGGAATTTGAAACAATGAAGTAATATCCACAATAAAAAGGAACGTTTAATACTCTAGAACGAAGCTTTAAATTTAGCATTTTATTCGTCTGATACCACAAAGCACAATAAGGAAAAAAAAAGGAAAAAAGCTTCTTCTTTTCCTTCAATCTATACAACCCCTTAATAATTCAAACTTCAAAACATTTACATAAAATATTAGCTTTATATATTTGTAATTGCTAAACTGAGCCAGCAAGGTCATCACTTTTCAATTATTTGTGGCAACTAGATAAGGTGACAGTGCACAAACTAATAACTGACAGTAGTCAGCTAATGAACAGGTTCATGCCTTATGGAAGTGATGAGTTTCCAGGTTCCATTTTTAATAGCCACTTGCAATCATAAATATATATTTCTTCTTCTGCTACATTAAGAAGTTTCCTGTATATAAACTGAGATGTGCTCACCACAAAGACATCCAGCATAACTTCTTTTTGCAAGGACCATACACTACTGGTTTTTATGTTATGGAATGCATTAGTGCAGTTGCACGTGTAACTGACTTACTGCAGCATGAGTGTTAACTGTACATTGCAGCAGTTTTACATGCCTGTAAAGGGGTTCTGAATAATATCATACTTACAACATCAAACTTCTGTGTGATGTTCCCCTGGACATCAAGTAAATAAACTTTGCCATAATGTGTTCCCAGTGCCAAAAACTGTGAAAGAAAGAGATTGATTACATAAACACAAAGACACCACAAGAAATACTACAATGCTAAATGAACTCCAGGATTAGCAACACTGGGGAAAAGAAAAAAGCCCACCACTTTCTATAGAGAAAGGTTATTTTAACTGCACCCAAAGAATAAAACAGGGCTTCAAGCCCATATTGCTGTGATAGTGCAAGTTAGCTGTCAGAATGAGTCATGAGGACCCTCATCCACTGACAACTAATGGTGGATCTGCAGTCTGTATACACCAGCTGACGGACTGTGGCAGCAAATTAAAAATGCAGCGTGAGAGCAAGAACCAACATAGATCTGAAATACTTCCTAAATCCTTTATGCAGCTTTGTTTCAATCCTAATGTTTCCTTTGAGCTTTATTTTTAATTCTTCTTGATTATTAAAATAAAAAAAAAGTGTTCAAACACAGCAAAAGGCCAACTGTAAGCCCCTGGTAAAATACAGTTGAATTATGGAAGGTCTATGACAGTGCATTTAAGTACACAGATAACTCCTGGGATTGCTTTCCTTCACATAGTAACATTCCTAAATAGAATACTCCCAAGACAAGTACACTTCCTTGGAAATCTCAGCAGTTTCATTCTAAAAAATAGTAGCAAAATAAAGAAATCTTGACATAAATCCATACTATCACAAACTTATTTTGATACAAACAAGAAGGAAATTGATTCTGAGAGATCTGCTGTTAATTGAACCATGTGAACTACACCTAAACAGAAAAGATAGAATTTCAGTACTACTCGATTTATGACAGAGGTTTCTTCTATTTGCCCCCTCCCCCACGCTCCCACTTTCAGCATTACTGAAATAGTCTAGGCTACTCAATTCTCTGTATTTCACTGCATGTGAGCATGCTTCATTGCAACCTATAATGAAATGCTCAAATTTACAGGCACTGCTAAGCGTGTCAGTCAGGCAGCACAATCTTTAAAAAATAACCTTACAGAAAGTCAAGGTTTAAAAGGATTTATCAAAATGGAATTGCTTAAAATGAAATTTCTGTTCAGGCACTTAAAATATGAAGCTACATTAAAAGGAGGCAAGAAAGGGAAAGAAGGGGCTCATTAGAAATTCATTCCCTGCAATGCCTTTCACTCCTGCAAGGTTGCCTTTTTTCAGGAAGAAAAAAGTCCCCCGGGTAAAAAAATCAATACTGGTTAATAAAACATCAGGTGTGCAGACATAACTAGGTATGACTATTCCACTGCACAGGCCTGCTTGAATGCACCAGGTGCCATGACGATTAGTCATCCAGTGCAGACAGCAAGCCTGGTGAAAATATGATGCTTTAGCAGCAAAAATGAAAAAAAAAAAAATTCTGGGGGGAAATTAGTCTGAATGCAGAAGCCAGATCTCAGGATTCCCAGCAAAGTTAAAGTGCTTTAATCAGAGCAATATTTTACATATTACTGCGTAACTTTTCTAATGATAGCATTTAGCAAGGCTTTTCCTGTTCGTTCAGGAAAAAAATCCTGAAAAAAACAACAAGAATGAAACAGAAATACCCTTGCAAAACCTATAACCCAGCTTCATTTTTAAGTTCTCTGTTGCAAGAGACCTATTCCTAAAAGACTGCAGTACCTGGCTTCTAACAATATTGATTCTTCTCATAAGTAGTGTATCTATTTTGCTGGAAAACTGAAAGTACTGGGATACTTCAACAGTTTTCCTGTATTGTCACGCTTTGTGACACTATAGCAAAAGCTGTATCTGTGCACATCCTTATAGAAAAATCCTGTTAAACTCTTGGCTTTCAAAATTTACCTGAGATGCAGGAATAAAAGGTAACAGAAACAGGCTACAGACAAAGAGGAAATGCTCGCCAATTTTCCAAATATCTGTGTAATTCTAAGTTGTCAAAAACATTTTAAAAAGACTTATTGTTTTCATTCACACTGTTAAAATACAAGCTTCATCTTAAGAGCCTCTTGAGCCATAGCAACAGTCCTCTAAGGAAAAGAAACATAGCACAAGTCAATCTAAAAATATAGCCAAATAATAAAGATAGATCCCTCAACAATAACTGTTAAGGAGATGCTGCTGGCTGTGAAAAATTATATATTCAGAAAATAGCTACTGTGTTTTACATACTAGTAGTTGACAAATCATTAACTCATATTTTCAGCTGCACTTCAGAATGCCTCAATATTCTAACATGTTTTACAGTATGTATAAAAGAGAAGAAAACTCATAAAACACAAAAGCAATTATTTAAATCACTAAAGAATCATATGAAGTTTATTTCTTTTAAGAACAAAATATAAATTATTTTAAAAATTTCTTTATTTTGCATTGTCTATTAGGATATGTCTTTATCCGTATCATCCTATTAAGATATGTCTTTATCCTTATCATCCCTCTGGTACACCAAAATCTCTAGCATGTGCAGTTCCTCTCTTTTTAACATACAGGGAAGGGGGACAGGGAAGTGTTAGTATGACACCTCCCAAAAGTAAAGCCTAAGCAAACAAAAAACACAATATTTACTTTCTTCTCCACCACATTAACATGTCTTCCACAGCCAAAAATATGCTAATTTCCTGGCATGATCAAGTTGATCTTTGCTGACATGGCTGTACAAATAAGCACAGTATATGCCAACTTCCTTTCTGAATAAAGAAAAGTTAGGATTGTATTTTGTTTGCAGTTCTTAATACTTTTCATTATTAAATCTGAGTGAGCATTTTTCTAGTAGCTTATGTAAACATCTCATCTAACAAATCTCTGCATCTTGAATTCTCACCTCATTTCCTCATTGAGAAAATGTGTTTATCACTGAAAAATGCTTGAAACAAACAAGAAGGGAATTGATTCTGAGAGATCTGCTGTTAATTGAACCATGTGAACTACTTGTTTTATCACTGAGAAAATGAGGATTTCTCAATACAGGTTAATGGTAAATTTTGTTTATGTCATTGATGCCTTGCAGTGCAACTCTAGATTTGGCATCACTTCTACACAAAAGTACACTGATGCACTATAAGGACAGATAAATATATGAAACTGAGCAGAAGTGCTATCTCAGCCACAAAGTCACATAATACCTTTTCATGCACTGTCATGCAGCTGGCTGCATCCTTCTGGAGAATTTCAGTCACTCCATTAGAAAGCCGTTCATACTTGAGCTTAGGTTCTTCTTCACTCTCATCTTCCTAAATTTTTGGGAGTATAAGGAAAGGGAGCAAGAGAGAAAAACAACAAAAATACTTAGAAGTTTATTTTAGATAAAAAACAAATTAAAAGATACCCCAAAACTGTCACACAGCAACAGGCGAAGATGGATCACTGCGATCTCTTCACAACAGCCATTACAATCAAAAGCCAAACTTTCACAGTTTAATCATCTGAAGGGGTTTGGGCTGTGCTTTTTTGTTACTGGTTTTTCTTTTTACTCCAAAGTTCTGAGTGCAAAGTCTGTATAGCAGCATGTCAATTTAGCTGTAGGTGGCACTTACTTGATATCTAAAAAGCAGGAAAAAATGTGCATGTGTACTTTGTTACACAAAGTTAGTAATTTGCAATTTAGAAGTAAATACAAGAAGGATGAATATGATAATGAAGGATGATAAAATAAAGTGTGCCACTGTAGCCACAATGAACTGAAAGCTGAAGCATGCACATTACAAGAAACTTCACAACCTTTACAAGATGCTGCACCTCTGTAGGAAGGATAGAGGCAAAATGCTGTGAACAAAAATAAGAAGAATCCACTAGGAATAAGTTAATTGTATAAAATCCACCAATGGGCTTATGGTAAAAAAAAAGTACTATAAATATGCTTTTTGGGAAGAGGATCAGGACACATTATACTCCTATGAATCACCCTTGTCTTCTGCATGTTAGGATCTTTTTCTGGTAAATACTGAAGCATTCCGCTCTTTTCATGCATGTTAGGTATTATCACCCAATCACTACTTAAATGCAAGGAAGGACCATGGGGGAAAGAGTGAAGAGAAAGGAATCCAAGCTAAAAAAAACCAACCAAACAAACAAACAAAAAAAACCCCGAAGCAGCAAATTTATTGCTCAAAGAAGACCCACATGCTTATATCTTAGGAAAATAAAATCCTAGTTGCAAAACAGCTCTTTGGTCATAGGCATCTATCTGCAACAGCTGGTGTACAGAGGTACAATGCCAGAGAGATTCCACAGGCTTCAGTAAGTCTCAGGTAATCTTACACATGCACAGACATACACAAACCCTTACAGATCCCTTGGTCCTCACTGGAAAACAGTATACCTGCAATAATATTCTCCTACATTTGCTATTGACTATAATGAATATATCAACACTGAGTATGCGTAGGAGCAACGGGGGGCAGGACAGTCAGGACAGACAGAGAAGAGAGATCCTTGAAGCCAGGTGTTGGGATCAGCGGGAGAAATGCAGCACGCAATATGAGTGATCAGCAAATCTCAGACTTTATTGATAGGTACACATCTTTATATTGGTGTTAATGAGTCTCATACATATTGCAAAGGCGAGCTCACTATTGGTTAGTTACTTATCAGGCAACTACGCCTACTTCTGCATTCTTGTGGATATTTTATTGAAACTTTTCTTCGTATTCCTGCCAAAGATGCTCTCCCCTATCCTACTGTTGCACCAAGGGCACAATGTCCTTGCCTGTCATTGGACACTGACTACTGACTCCTATACTTGTCCCCTTCAAGCTTAACCAGCGGCATTATGTCTACGTGACCTTTCTCAGCTAACCAACTGTCCATAAAGCTCTCCACAGGCAGGTTGTGGAACTTGGGGTTTACTGCCAAGGGCCTGGGTGCAGGGCCCTGCTGGGAACTGCCAGCCACAGCTCGGAGCAGGCCTGAGAGAGGAAGAAGGTAAAGAGCGAGGTTCCTGCTACCATACAATAAATCTTCTTCTGTGTTGAATATTCTAATTCTCACTAACTAATCTAGTACAACATACAAATCCTATAGCATTTATACACAGCCTATAAGAATCATTACATTACCATACTGTGTTACATTTTAAACCCCAAATCTACTCTTTGGACCCCTTCTGCCAAGCTAGTAGGGTCTGCTCTGAGCCTTGGACCTGTCTGCAAGTAGAGGGTCTTGTTTCATCAAAAGGGGATTACCTCCAATCTGGCCATACCATTGTTTTCCAGTTGTTCAGTAACTAGGGTATCTCAAAGCTTCTTTCATTTCAATCTTGCTTCATTTTCAATCTTGCATATTCTCAAAATCTTTTGCCAGGCAATCATATTTATAAGGTTTTCCTGTTTCATCTTCCCCAACAAGTATGTTTTCCATATAAAACATCTTTCATTCTTAAGCAACCAGAATATACCAGTGCAGTGCTCTAGTTAAAGGAGTGCCTTGATTTCCCACCAACCACTGCCTTCCAATTCCTAAAAACGCATAGTATCAGCCTACAGTAGAACTGTATTTGTGCAGCACTTTCTTGTAGATACAATGCAAAAACTGAATTTGGAAGAGAGACATGTTAACAGGTTAAAAAAACCACATTTTTAAAAATTGCTTTTGCAGTACTAAAGCCAGTCTTTTCCAAGTTAAATAGTACGGCCATTTACTATGTGTGCTACCATCATATATGGTAACATGTACATAACCTCATACAAAACACAAAAAAGCCATATACACCTATGGAGACACCCAATACCTAGTCCCTTGCTTATAGAAATATGCTGCAAAGAGAGTGTTTTAAAATGTTACGTGAGAGTTTTATGACAGAATACAAATGAGATTAATACAGGGATGTCAACAGTGCATGACGTAGGAGTATGAAGTGGGATGTCAAAATGTCCACTAAGAAACAATTTTATTCAGTAAATCTAACACTGAACAAAGTTGTTACTAGACAGAATGACAATGTCAAATTACAGGTCTGTATATAAATCAGTCAAATTCCTCATGCCTACAGATCGTTAATAAATGGCTACAAGGTAGAGGGAGGAGGTAAAGTCAAAGTAAAAAGCATACATTTGATGGAAGGAGAGTGTAAGGAAGTATGTGTCCATTATAACAATTAACACATTACTGCATTTTATACATTGCTTACAAAGATTATACTTGAAATGCATGGGCAATCATTGAATAAATCCATAAACGTAAAAATTGAACGCCAGTCATCTAGTTTTTATAAGATCTCACATGTTGCTGGGGCCAGGACATCCAATGTGCAACCAACATGAAAAGTTAATTCTAGTCTCTGGAGTAGTTTGCATAAAATCATTCATCCATGGACCATTAAATAAAGTTACTGTAAATAAGTTTTACCTGTCTTATTTATGAGTGAAAACTAAGTAATTTTTTCTGCACATGCATATCCAAAAAATATATACTTTCAAAAGTCAGTGCACCAAAGCATTCTGCCAGCATTCTGCCATGACTTCAAAGTAAGTAAATAAAATGAAAACTCCCAAATATTAGGCATGATGATGTACTTATTTCACGCTTTCCTGACAGGTATCTTGTATGTTAAATAAAAGTCAAGCTAAAAGGTGAATTGAAATGAGGTTGGAGCACTTCACTGTAAACAAAATGAAATAAAAAGGTGATTTTCAAAAATTCAGGATTACTGCTTCAGACTCTGATATATTAAATGAATTTGATGATCTCTTATTTAGAGAATCAGGGTTTAATAATTTTAAAGGTATTTTTCTACTAGAAAAAGCTTTTATGCAGTTTGAACTTCTAAAGTAAACACAAGCCAGTGTTAATAAAAGCAAATCAATAATTTTTGTTAAATTTTAATAATCTTGAAAACCCACAAATTAAACCATGAGCAGCCTGAGTTGAGATGTCAGTTAGCTGTGTTTCTATGACAACTAGAGGAATAGTGCAAGTCCTGACATGCAGCAAAGCTAAGATCCAAACAGAGTGAAATTTACCCCATACAAGGGAACTCACAGCTTTCCTTTTTTAAGGGAAAAAATAATAAAAAAATCAATTGCTGAATTTACACGTATTTCTACTAACTGTATGACACTTTTAATTAAACCCTCCTAGAGGATTCTAAAAATTTGAAAATAAATTTTGTAACACTGCTTTTTGTACCAACACTTAATGCTACTTCAATATTTAATGCCTAAAATTATCTGAAATAACAATTATAAATTTTTATATTCTTGACAAATGTTTTAAGAGAAAAATAAATATTTACTGCACAAAATGTGTAAAGCATATTTTGCAAAGCACACATGGCAGCCTTAAATTCTGAAAGGCAAGGAGACCCAAAGAGCTGTCAAGAAGAAGGTACCTTTGTGATGTGATAAAATAAATAATTACCATTTTTCAACAACAGGAATGCTAACTTGAAACTCATACTCCATTTGATTTTCACTTGCCTTTTAAAGCTAAAGATAGCGGGCATATCGCTAAAATATGCTGTAAAGAACAGGCATCCATAAACATTTCTCACTGAAAGCACATTTCCAACTGAATTAAGTACTCTGATTAGCCCCTAAGACTAATACAAACTCTTTCATACTGAGAGCTCTTCCAGTTGTCATTGCTGAACACTCCTGAATCGAAAACAAATTCCTTCTCATTCACCCAGTACCTATGGAATAACAACTCTTCTTCTGGAATGGATTTACAAAACTAACAAAGGCTACACATGTGCAACAAGCTCTCTCAACAGGCCAGTACCACTGCAAGGGACCCTCGCCAGCCTTTCTGAACTCAGGTTCACAGCCTTCTTCAGATATTCTGCCCCATATTTCCTAGCTTTGCCTACAGGAACTGCTCTGCTGGAACCATGAGTAGGAAAAAAGAAAAAAAATCTGAAATCAGTCCTTGTGAAGAAACTTTCCAGAAGGAACCTGTGGGCAGTTCCCAGAGTTATTTCATTAGCCCACATTTGCTCCTGGAGCAGAGGATCTGCCTACAGGACAGACTGTCACATGAACATTGTTCTATTGATTACAGATACTCAAATTATGTTACAAGTACTGATAGCAAAATGTCATCCTTACCACACAATTTGCCCTCAAAGTTTTTCAAAGCCTTTACAGAAATAAACATTGCATACATTATAAGGCCAGTGTCCTTCCCCTTTGCTGCACATCTTCTGTCCGGTCCCAGATAAAATTGCAATTACTCTAAATGTCCATTCCAGCCTTGTTTTGATCCTGAAAAGCATTTAAACTCCAATACAAAGACAGCTGAAGTCCATCACTGAAGCAATTTCAAAAAGGACACACACCCTACTCCAACAAAGCCCTAGTGTCATAGGCCTTCTTAAAAGGCTATGTCTGAAAAAGAAAAAAAGACAACATAAACAAAACCTCTACAGTTAATTTTCTTTTTTTACATGCTTTCTTTCAAGTTTACATTGATTTCAGAGATTATAAGAAAAATGGTGAATTACTTCATTTCCTCCTGGCCCGGACAGAGTTAATTTTTGCAGTAACCCGGGGAGGCATGGCTAGGACAGAGAGGCTATCCTACACCACTTATGCCATTGCCAAGTGTGGGGAGAACCCACACTGAGGAGAAGGAACCCCTTCTCTGATTCCTTCTGGTTGATCAGAGGATGGGCTGGGTAATGCTGGCTCCAACACAGAGTAGCAGGTGAGTACTGGTGAGTATTTTCACATGTGAATCACTCTCTCTCTTTTGTACACTTTAGTTATTAGTACTGTGCTGTTACTGTTCATTTTCTTATCTCATTGTTTTTTCCAGTAAATTGTTCT